TATCACTTAGGTAAATTCTTGTTTGTCTTCAGGAGCACTGGGTTTTGGTACAGAAGACCAGGTTTGCTCAGAATACCCTTTTTCACCTATCCATAGAAGTGGGGCATAGATACTGAAAATAGCAATTTAGGCTCTAGGTTTCATAACTTGCCCAGTCTGTTTTACATGTACAGCAAGTGTTCCATATGCTGCTTTGGTTCACAGGGTATGGGTGGACAACATGGTTACTTTGGACTCTGGATAGACAGTGACTACGGGAAGGGACACAGTAAAGCAAAACCTCGATGTACCACCTACAACAGTCCCCAGCTGTCTGCTAAAGAGGATTTTACACTGGATGCCATGGAAGTTTGGGCAGTGGGAGACCTCCCCGAAAGCGCAGGGGTAGGTGAACCTTTGAAATTATGTCCTGATTGGAACGGGAGATGCAAAGGCAAAAATTGCAGTTGCAGTTTTCTGATTAAACACTGTCTCTCCATTGTAATGAATAATGTTTTCTTTAACTGGCCCTGTGATGCCATATATTTTGTAGCAAGTAAATGGCAAAATAGTGGAATTGTTGAGGGTGCCAACAAGAAATAACATCAGGAGCCATGAAATGATAGAGTGAGAAGAGCTGTACTTTATTCTGCATTTCAAAAGGCCTTTCTGATAATGAGGAATGGTCTCCAGAAGGAACCTCCTTGGAGGGGCTCATTAAAACCCAGCACTTGTAAAACAGAAAGAATGCACTGGAAGGTCACAAGTAAAGCCTAATCTATAGTTCAGGAAGAGAACCCAAGAGATTTCTTTATCAGTAACTTTACATTTACTATTGTTTACAATAGATTTATGTCAGTAGATTTATGCTAGCCTTTCTACACCTGGTTTATTTCTGGGAATGAGTAGGAGACCTCTTTCGAGTCTTCTCTGTCCCTGTAATTTTTTTTCTTTTATTAAACTGTCAGGTCTGCACATTTTGGTGTTGGTTTTTTTTTTAAATTTTTATTTCTTTTCATACTAAATCTGTGTGCTCTGTCTGTTCAGGGGACACATAGCTCTAAATAGAAACAGAACAAATTGTTTACAAGAAATGGTGACTTGTACTTGAATCTCTTCATTATAAAAAAGTTCATGTCTGCACTTCAAACTGAGGTCAGATTAACCAGGATGTTCTGGCTGTTTTGTAACCTGAATAAACTTGAAATAGTTCACTGTCATCTTAGGAAAAGTTTATGACTATTCTGTGTAACTGCAGCAATAAAAATCATTTGATGTATCCCAGTGAATCTTAAATGCCTTGCTTGGAAAGTATATATGCTTCATTGTGACAAGCTTGCAAACCAGATTACTTGTGGACTTTTGAGTATGTCTCTTTCTTGTAGCCTGATACTGATTCATTCATAATGACGTTTTAAATTGACTGTATTTTATTTTGTTTTGAAGACAAAAGGTAAGAAGAGTATCCTGGATGTAGATCCCGAGGCTCAGGCCTTATTAGAAATGACTGGAAAAAGTCGTCAGAGCGAAGGTCTACGAGAACCCATTGAAGAGGAAGATGATGATAATAACTAAAAGAATCACAGTAATATGAAAAAGCTTTTTTTTTTCCTCCTGAGTGTTAATGTTCCTTGGACAGGATATTTTTTTTCCTCATTTTTTTTCCTTACATTTATCTAATTATCTGGGACAAAGCTTAAGCCTCATACTTATGTAATATTTAGGTCCAATACAATATGCTGCCTAAAGGGTTTTGTTTGGGGAGGACAGAAAAATTAATTAGGTACTTAATCATTAGACATCTCTTAAGTTCTAGCTAGCATTCTTGATAGATCCTGTCTGCATACAGAATTAAAAACAAAAGACAAAGTTATTGACAGTATGGCTTACTGACTTGGAGAATTGATGAAAGACTGTTCAAGACACTGATTAAGTCTCTTGCACCTCAACTACACGTATTTATTTGCATGCAATGAAATTAGTCAGCGAACATTGCAAACTGTAGTGATGTCTTACATTGGTAAATGTAGAATAGCCCACGTGATTCCATATGAAGGATGCTATTAATTTGCATTGCTCCAGTTAAAGCATTAAGTTTTCTAAGTCAGATTTTCAGCAAGTGACTCTATATGGGCTGTAAGATGTCCAGAATGCTATGTATGCAGCATCTGGTTTTATAATCCTACACTACACCTTAGTGCATTTCACTTAAGAACTTTCTGCAGAAATTTACCTATTGCTTTTTAAACTTAGTAGAACAGAACTGTTGGAGTCATTCAGCTATATTTATCCTAAGAATGGGCCACACCTCCAGCAGAAATTCTCCGGGGAAGGTACCTTCTTTCGTAGCCTCACTTGAGACTGGTGTAAAAGATCAGGCTGTAAAAAGGATTAAGTAAGAAGCATCCACAGTTAATTGGGAATAGTATCTGCAGATACCTTGTAAAAAAAAAAAAAAAAATCAGGGTTATGTCTTTAACATGTTTAAAGACTGCTGTACACTTTATTTCTACATAGTTAATCATTACTGTATTATGGAAAAAAATGCCTGCAATTTGAAATGTAACTAGTCGGTTGGGATTTTTGCTCTCTTTTGTTGGCTGTTTGCCAGTCAATGCCAGTTTTGTCAGGTCTCTTGTACTCAGGGCTTTTTCTACTTGAATCCGTTCCCATCTATCAGTAATTATTAGTTTGACCTTGCTAATTCTATGTGTAATTAACTTGTCAAAAATAACCCAAATTTCTACCGGGGACTGTCATTTCTAACTCAGCAAATTGTGTTTGGTTATTAGTATATATGCTTGTCAGTCTGTCTCCTCGGAAGGAGAAGGACTGTATCACGTCCCCTTTGTCCTAGCATGAATTAATCTTCCATGCAGCTTAGAGCAAAAAATTACTGTGATGCCTGATCATGTGGCCTTCCTTCAAATTCTTTCCCTTAGCGTTTTCTTGTATGTGGTCCTTTTTTTTTTTTTCTCTTTCTTTTTCCACCCAATGTTTTTCACAGGGAGCCAGATTTGAGTATTCTGAATATGCACTCGTGCCTTAACGTAGATCCCATTTTTTTAAAATTTTATTGAACAAAATTTAGCCTTGAAAGGAGAGCATGAAGAAATCACTCCAGCCAGACATGCTAGAACTCAGTTGTGCATTTTGGTGTGCTACCTGAACTAATGATTGGGGCATATACGCTATTTAGTCCAGTACAGAGTACGCTGTAAAAAGCCTGAGCTAATGTCCTTTTATCTTCTCTTTGCATAAATAAACCAGATAGTCTCCCAAGTTTGTAACACATAGGAAAAAATGTAAGCATTAAAACAATTACACTGTAATTGTTTTATACTATTCTGTATAATTTTCTTTTCTGTATAGTTTAATAGGAAGTTTAAATGATAGAAAGTAGGGAGTGCTATATAGACAGCAAGTAAGTACATGATGGTCTCTAAGCATGGTGATGCTGGCTTTTGTTTTAACATTCTCCCACCGTAAGTCTCAGAGGTATGCCTCACTTAGGCACTAAGCATACTAAATACTTGAAGTGGATGGCATACAAGAATGAGACATAGTTGAATTTCTTCAGTTACACATAAAATAAACAACTAGACTCTTTTCCTTCCATTTCAAGGCGGAGACTTTTCTTTGGGGACTGAAACCATTTGCAAGGATTTTTAAAAAAAAATAGTGAGCAGACATCTCTGCAGACTGTATCTTGGGAGGGTGAATTTCACAAAGCTACTCTTCACCAAAAATGTTTAGGTGGCCAAGTTTTCTTTGATTTGAAATAAGTACCAATATAGCTGGTTCTTTCTAGGCTATGAATCCAAAATGTAATCCTGTTTAAACATCATCTTGTGAAGATCAGCATAGCATTTGACCTCTGAAACTGTGTTTTATGACAAGGTTGTATCTGAGACTCTTCATCTTCACTTTGAAGTGAAGGTGTTAAGCTGGGGCAAGAAGAAAACTGACACTATGGCACTTTTGCCAAATGTATCAGCGAAGCATTTTTTACTGGGAAACCACTGATCCAACCAGCAGATGGGATTATTCAAAATCATTCTTTAAAAGTAAAAGATTGGCTTGGAAGAGACTCAACTTTTTTTTTCTTTTTCTGAACCTAATGATTAAGCAATCTGTGCTTTGTTGTTTGTGCATCTAAAAATGTCCAGAAATCAATCGTCATCAGTAGGCTTAGCTATGATCTAAACGTCTCTCAATCACTTCTACGCAGCTGTTGATCCAACTGCAAAGCTTAACATCCCTGCTGTGTATGTGAGTCATCTTTATTCTCAGGCGCTTGTGCAAGCGAGTCCCTTCCCCATTAAATCCATCCACTACTGTGCATCGCATCAGATCGGCCTTCCGCTTTGCTCCTATTAGTCCTATAGGTACAAAAAATTTCACTGCAGTGTTCGGCAAAAGCTGACAGCTGAGTGTTGGCACTTCAGCTCTCTACTCTTTGTTTGACATCTCCCCACAGTTCCCTTGAAAGTCTTGCTGAATCAAGGCTAGATAGCTGGGAATCAAGGAACACTATAGATTTCCTATAGTCAAAGAAGTGCTAGTGAAGGCAGGTCTTTTCCATTCTTCCAATTTAATATAAAAGGACGGGTCTAAAGCAAGAGTCTCATTCAGATTCTTCTCTGTAACATTTTAAAATGTAGGTTTTATTAATAAAAATCATTTTGATTTAAATAAATATGTACAATAGATTGTTCTGTACAGGTGTGAAACTGCGTTATTTTGTCCAGGACTTGTCACAGCATTCTTGACACATAGATCAATGTTATAAAAATGTACCTGATCTTGGTTTAAAACAGGAGCCGCTGCGGAGGTTTCTGTAGACAGCTCGAACAGCTCAGGTAGAGCATGTAGAAGGAACAGACTCTGGAGTAGGAAGGACAGTCGGTACAGATTCACTTGAGTATCTTCAGAAAGGATGTGCGGCCTCAGAAGATGGCGCATTTGGATTATCCAGCATCACAGCTCCGATCCAGGTATATCTTCAGAGGAAGTTTGCATCAGTTATGACATCCCTTTGTGTGCTTTGGTCGGCAGCAGCGTTTTTCACAGAGTTTGACAAACTCTGACACAATGAAAACTGAGGAAGCCAGTCCAGTCAGAAACAGCAGGTCTGCCGAGAGGAGACAAAGTGGAGATGAACATAGCGGACAGCTGGATTTTGTGCTGGGCAGGAATCTCCAGTTAGTGGCCTTCCTGCAGTAGCTATTTGTGCTGGTGTAACTCCATAGGTGTATGGCCTAGCTATGCTTTTGCTAGCTGTAGAATTGGAGAAATGACTGCACTAGACAAGGAATACCCATACAGTCAGCTGGTGTAGTCCTCTTGATGGGTGGTAACCTCTACGTTAATCATTTGGCATCACTGAACTCTGCTTCTAACGACATGCCTAATGTAGGTGCAATACGATGTACTATGGTGGAGTTTGCTTAGACTGATTCAAGTGGTAAAACATGCATTTCATTTCAGCTAGGAAATATTCACCCTGCTTTTTCAAAATGGAGTGACTGCTTAATGATCTTAGATAGATTTATGTAGAGAAATATCATCAGATGGAGCTCGTGGAAAATCTTGGCATGTCTCCACTTACATGCATTTATATGCAGGAAATCAAAATTCAAAACCTAGACTAGGATAATATCATTAAATACTACTACTATTTGTGTATAGCTCTGTGTATCTGTATAGGTATAGGAACTGTTGATTGATTTCCCCTACCAGCAATCTGTTGGGAGCTATCATGTAACAATTTGGCAATCACATCTGCTTTTTAAAATAGCTTTAATGAAAAAAAAAAACCCACATTATTTATTTTGCAACTTACCTAGCACTCCTAAATTCTCTGTCTGGAAGATCTTTTGTAACGGAGGGACGTATATCACAGCCAGCTGTCCCAAAAATGACCCAAGCACAGAATACCAGAACATGCGGTTTCGAAAAAAGCCTATTTCAGATATCAACTTTGTCTAGAGAAGAGGGTGGGGTGGGGGAAAAAAAAAAAGAGAGAAATGTAACATTTCCCAATCTCCTGTTGGTACTCGAATGTCGCACTGTTGCTTTGCATGTAAACTCCATTGCCTTGAAGTTACATGAATGCTAGCTTAGGCAGAGCTGCATAGTTGAAAGTGTAGTTGCAGTTGAACTATGATGGATAACTTTATAAATAAAGATGATAACAATCACGCTGCTTTAAATGACATTAAAAAAACCCTTCCTATGCAAAATACTAGTATTCTAATGTTTATGTTAGTGTTTTGAGACAAGAAATTATTGCTGACAGAGCGATCTCACCTGAGAGCGGCATGTCAGGGCATTGAAGAGGTCAAAAAACACAAAACAGGTAAAAGTCATTGTTGTGGTTCGAGGAGTTATGCCACTTTTTGGATTCTGAAAGCACATGTAAAAAATTCAGGAGTTAGTTAAGCCTTACAAAAATATGTCAATTCGACAGAGGAATTAAATATTACCTTTAATTAACCTTTAATGAAGGGTAGTAAAACAAAGGAATAAATCTAGTTCTAACCATTACAGATAGCATAAATTTCTCTCTGCTAATAGTTGAGCTTATGATCTTATCAACCATGTTTTCAATTCTTAAACTGATGTGGAGTGCAAGTAAAGACTATTCTAAATTAAATTGCCTAAACTGCTATAGTAACAGTCACTATTTACTAACAGCAATTCATAGTACTTAGGTACTTGGCATTTTCTGCTGATGTGGAAAGCTAGAGGTGAAAAGTACCTTACAGCATTGAAATCATATCAAGTAATAGTTTTCCCATTCTAGATAGGACGCTCCAAATTAGGGGCAACACAGGAAGGCAGAAGCAGAGCTAAGAGCTGACCCTGGTTTCTTAACCCTCTGCCCATACTGATCCTTCCCCACTGGATTATTTCAGAAAGTCCTTCGCAGGTACTTCAGAAATTGCCCTTCACTTTCTTCTCCACCCTGATGAAAACAAGATACGATTACAGATTTTCCTCACCTCCTTCCAGAAGACAAAGAGGGTTCCACTGATGATAATTATCGCTGACATGAAGATTTTCAGGATCAATGATTTGCTGAGTATAGTATCCGTGACGCATCGGGGTGGCTGTTTGATAGTATCCCTATCAACAGGTTCAACTCCCAAGCTGCCTCAAAGAGAAGCAGAGGGATGTGTTTAGTTAATGCGGATCGTCCCGAAATGGTATTGTTGATAAAACAGGATGGATCTGGAGGATTAAATTCTTTGAAGTACAGCATGAGAGTTATCAGTATTCTGGCAGGGCTACATAAGGCCCCAGGTTTGTCCGAGACACCTATGCCAAAGGTCTTTCTTGCATAATGAGCTGCTAAAACGATATATTGGACTACCATAGTGCATCATATCAGTATCCCATCCCAGAGGGAGAGCTAGCTGTGAGATGGTGGACAACATCTCTTCCACATTGAGGAAATAGTAATTGTGATTAGCACTAGTTGTAATTAGCAGATGGATGACGTTCCCAAGTCTTGTGATTTTTGAGGCATATACCCCCATATGTACCCAGTATTCCCTTGCCAGTCAGATCTGCAGGGCTAGCAGCAGGTGATGCGCTCAGGAACAACAGACCATTCGTAGTAAAAAAAAAAGTGGAACAGTTAAGTGATTCCATCACAAAACAGGAATATGTAAAACTTCAAGTAAACCTGAAGTAAATGCTTTTGGACGGACCGGGAGGGAACAAAAGTACAACTTGTCTTATCTACCACCAAATGATTGGCACATTGATAAGAAATCATAACAGCTTGTGTTCCTAAGCCAAATTCAGACATATTAAAACCAAGAATATTTTGCTTATTTGAGTCTTCTGTACCTCTGGGCTGGCGGCCCATCCATGATGATGTTGATCCATAAGATCTGCATAGCATTGAGTGGATTTGGTAGGTTGAGCACTGTTGACAGAGTAATTAGGCTCAAAGCTGAAATGCTCCTGCAAAGCACAGAACAACATTATTCTGCATGGCCACACCTAAAAGGTGCCTTCACGGGAGTCGAAGCAAACAGGAACTTACGTGCTCAACTGGAACCGGACAAAATTTTTTATGTTGTAAAATATTCCTTTTCCCTCTTCTATTGCATTCCTGGAAGGGAGAGGACAGTTTATTAAATAACTAGTGCTTGCACTATTTTACATTGAGCTCCCCGTGACACTCAAAATACAAGTTGTCTTCTCTAGCACATATTTCAGATGAAATTCAGATCCCAGCTTGGGAGAAGGACATCAATGCAGCATCTCAGTTAAAATGACTTTATCAGGACCAGTAGATCTGAAAACCCTGGGTCATATGGCCAGGTCTTGGTCCATAAAGCAGACGTGAACTATTTATATCCTCACTCTACTCTGCCTTATGAACCAACAGAGCATTGCAAATTATGTCTTTCCTCTGAGCTTCCCAGATGAGGCAGAGAGCACAGGTAATGATCTACCCAGACTTCTAGGCACTTTCAAATCCCCAGTTAGCTACAGCAATGAGAAACCAGGACTTTTGGATGAAAGGTAGCTTTGTCACCACCACTTGAAACAAAAAAGTCATTGCTGTGTATGCAACTGAAAATGAGCCAGGCCCACACTAGGTATCTCCACTTACTGCCTGTTGACTTACATGTCCTGCGTCTGGTGTCATTTCCAGGGCTAGTCACATAAGAGACTTGTTGCAATGGATAGCCAGAAAGTATCTGAAGTAAGAAAGTGTCTGATAGTAAGAAAGTCGCTAAACCTACATTACTTTTGAGAAGTCATCGTCCACGAGAATCATGTTGGCAGCCTCTTTGCTGACATCTGTACCAGCTTGTCCCATTGCAATCCCGATATTGGCAGATTTAAGGGCCACGGCATCGTTAACACCATCTCCTGTCATTGACACAACAGCACCAGCCCTCTGCAAAGCCTGTGAGAGTGGAGAGACAAGAAGCTCTGAAGCCAGGAGAAGATAAGTCCTGTTGGCAATCACAGGATTTGCATGCAATATTGAAAGAGCAGAAGTGCTATGTGACTTTGAGCAGACTCAGCAGCCCACTGAGGACAAAACTCAGACCAAGAATTAAGAGACTGGATTTTCAGGAGCGTAGAGAATCTCACAACTCCAGCAGGAGTTAGAAGAGGGGAGTAAGTCCTCAGAAATCATTCTTTTGATATTATGCTTGCTAATATCTCACTAGTGTCTATCAAATGACCCAGGCCAGGTCTGCAAGAGAAATGCTAGTGTCTTCGGTGTAAACAGTGCAACTACTCTAGCTTTTATGGTCCTTTAGTTTGATCTGATCCTGTCTTGGAAGACCAGGTGGTCTAGAGAACTGAGGGGCACCCCTTACATCTTGTTTCTGTGAGGCGTACAACAGATTTGAGAGGCTCTTAGTACCTTTATGATTTTTAGTTTGTGCTTTGGACTTGTTCTGAAGAAAATGGAAACCTGAAAAAAACAAAAAATGCAATCTTGTATTAGATGGATGATATTGGAAATGAAACCAGGTCTTGTTTTTGTAATCAAAACCATTACATTTTTGACAGTGGATGATAGCTCTGCCTCTGCCAATTGGTCCAGCTCTTCCCCAGACATGGCTTTCAGCTTCCCATTGCAGAGACCAATATTCTGTCCTGCAAAGAAAAGCCCCAAATGAGATCTGTCCATCAGCTCTGGAAAAAGCCAGCTATTTCCTGACTCAAAGAATAGAGGCAGCAATTAAAGAATTTACTGGGAAATACTTCTGAACATGGGGCATCTGAGAGGGCACACAGCTCTCTGGCTCCGAGCTGGGCCGGTCAACCTGTCCTTACTCAGCTGGAGTTACGGAACCAATATAATACCCAGAACAGGAGCTGATAGTAAATCTGTTGCTCTCCTCTCTGCTGCTTGCTCTGTGTATTTCTAATGGAAAATGCAAAAATGGGAAGCGCAGAGATACTCACAGTCCAAACATTAGTGGAATCTATAATCCCAGCAATGCCATCTGTCTCATTGAAGGATCTTACACGGAGATTTTGCCATTTCTAGCACTAAAATAGTGGAATTAAGTTACTGGAATTTGGCCCATGGTCCATAGCTCCTCTGTTACTGCATTTAATATGATTTGTTTCAATGGAAAAGCAAGAATTCAGTAGCATTTAAAGCCTCTATTGCACGCACAAAAAGAATGATAAAATTGATTATTAAGTGACATAACATTTGACTGATCTGACAGCCATAATATAGACCCGCAGGAAAGAAGCTAAGTTTGCTACCTATAGCCACAGCAGTTTCCAGGGCATCTCCAGTTATCATCTTTACTGATACACCAGACTCAGAAAGGACTTGAACAGCTTCTCGCACTCCAGCCCTTGGGGGATCAATTATTCCAACCAGACCTAAAAATGTGAGTTTGCCGAGTTCTGGACCTGAAGCCAAAGCAAGTACTAGAAACAGAGGGGACAAAAAGAAAAGGCTAAATTATTAATAATGTGTTTCCATACATTAAAATGAACATTTAGAGGAGATACTAAATTGCCAGTTTTGCAACAGAAGAAGTCATAAAAACAGATCTTTAGTCATTATATTCAGATCTCGTATAGACACAAAAATTTGGTCCACTCGAATAATACCAATTTATCTGAATCAGAGCATTTCTGTTTCACATGTTTCTCTTAGGATTTATTTCTGCCTAATTTAAATATCTTTACCAAGTTTTGCCTAAACACAGATGGATTAAACTGGGACAGTGCAATATTAGACCAGACACTACTAAATTACTGTGTTAAACAATAGTGCTCCTGTAAAAACTTAAAATTTTGTTGGTTTTTTTTTTTAATCTAAAAAAGTGAAATGTAAATTAAGTTAAACCAGTGAAACTTCCATCATGTAAACATCAAGGCTCTGAACATTTTGTTTCTGTTCTTGGTGCCTGTGTCATTCAATCATTCCTGTATCACTCAAGGATATTTTGCCAGGGGTTCATGTCAGTGCTGCTTTGATGATTGAACCACAAGCTCGCAGCAGCTGCCTGAGCTAATCGCTTTTCTTCAGAGCAGTAATTCGCCATTCACAATGGCAGATGATTCAGATATTGTAAAGCAAGCTCTGTACAGGAGCTACTAACCGCAAGACACAGGGCTGGAGAGTACGTACATTAACTACACCATCTTCCAGATCCGGCTGCCAAGACTTGAGCTCAGGCACTTACATCCTGGGAACACGCACAGGAGATGGTGTCTTTGTTATTGTGTGAAAGTCTAAGATGTTTCTGAAAGGATGTTTCTAGTGATGAAGGAAATGATACGCGTATAAAAACTTCTGTGGGCTGTGCGCTGACGTGCGGTCAGGATCAAAAGGAGATCATTAGAATCATAGAATCCTAGAATGATTTGGGTTGGAAGGGACCTTTAGAGGTCACCCAGCCCAACCCCCCTGCAGTGACAGGGACAGCTTTAACCACATCACGGTGCTCAGAGCCCCGTCCAACCTGATCTGGAATGTTTCCAGGGATGGGGCCTCCACTGCCTCTCTGGGCAACCTGTGCCAGTGCTTCACCACCCTCGCTGTAAAAAATTTCTTCCCTATATCCAGTCTAAATCTATTCTTCTTTAGTTTAAATCCATTACTCCTTGTCCTGTCAAGTCATTAGATTTGGTCCTAATAAAGAATTGAACCAAACTTCAAATAAAAATCTTGGTGCCCAAATCCATGTTTTGAACCTCTTTCAAAAGTTGTTTTTTGTTGCTCTTGAAACAGCTTCTCTAAAAGCAAAACTTGGCAGAGCAGCCCTTAGACAGGTTCAGCACGAAGATTTTCAATGCAACGTTCAGACCGTATCCCAGGCAATCACAACAAGCCATGGAGGAAAAACCTTCACCATTTCCCGTGCTTATTTTCAGCACCTTTCAATCTCACTAATTTAAACCCAGCAAAAAAAGATGAGTGGAAAGCAAGCATCCAGCAGACCTAAGACAGGCCGCTTGGCAAACTCTCACAAGCATTATGAAGAGATCACGCAAGTGATGCTGAGGATTGAGCCCCTGCCCATCCTGACCAAAACAGAGCAGGAAAGTATTAGGGCACGACAGCCTGTAAGCTTAAGAGACATAGACATTAATGACTGACCCCGTAGACCTGAGGAGCCCATTTGTTTTAGTTCCTGCTGGTAGAAGGCTTTCTGCTGGGGTGTAAGTGATAACGAGATGCCACCGCTGTTATATAGAGTGCAATACCGAATAACTTCTTCGAATGCTCCTTTCATAAAGTAAATCTCTTCCTGATCCTTTAAAGTAAGAAGATAATATACTTTATAAAAAAAAAAAAAAAAAAAGAAAAAGAAAAAAGAAAACAGCACATTTTAAAAATACTGATAGTCATAAGGCTTTATATCCTAGGCAAAAAAGATCTTCTGTTTGCTCTTTTACCTGTTTTGCAAAATGCCCAGGTTCATGTATTATTTATACGATGAGATATTTTTGCTCTAGCAATTTTTCATGTTCAGCCATCACAGGCAGAATGGTAACAAAAAGGTTGGCGAGTTTTTAAACCGGAGTACAATGTCAGCCAAAATGAGCTCCTTAACCCAGTAAGGGAAAAATGGCCAACACCTTCTTCCAAACACCGTGTCTTTCTTCCCCTGTCAGTTATCTCTGAAAAGCTTTTGTTTTCCTGCACAAACCACTATATGAAAAGTATTATTTTCTCCCTTTCAAACACAGCTTTACAAGCTAAAATTACACCCAAGTTGGGAATTTTGAGGTTTGTTCAGTTTTTCTCCTGACATAGTTAACTTCTGAAAACATTATTTGTTAAAGAGATACTATTTCATGCCCATTGTTGACGAGCACAATTAGAAACACAAAACCAGCCAACACTACTGTTTGCTTTACCTGATTTTTCAGTGTGCATTTCACAGCCATCCACTTTTGTTCAGAGCTAAACGGAATTTCCTTCTTTCTTACATAAGTATCTTTTATGTCAGCTAATTCCATCTAAAGTAAGGTAAAACAAAAAGAGCACTGTAATGCTGAACAATGGCAAAGCTTGTATATATTTTCCATATTACAAGCATTGACTGTTGACTGTGTGCTTCTGGGCAGTCATATCCTACGGAGCTCAAGAGAAAGCATGGGGAGAGTAACACTCATTTTTCAAACCCATCTTTTCCTTTTGGTGCTTCTTATGGGATGAATTAAACTGGAGTTTGAAGCTTGATCCCTGTTGACTTTTGCAAGAACTAGGGAGCTGCACTAGTGTCTTGGTGGGGCTTTGGGTCAAAGGAGGCTCAAGTCCTTTCCCTAAACCTGTGGCTAAGGGATGGGCAGAGCAGGTTTCTTCCAGCCCAAGCTCAGCCTCTCCCACTTTGGTTATTTCCCAGCCAGCCTATTTGGAAGAAAAAGGGAAATTGCAAATAACTGAATGGTCATTCATGGATGTGGTTTCAAATTATTTCCTGACAGGTTAATCTCAAAAAGTGGTTCACCACAAGAAGACCCTTCAGCTATGAAGTACGACAGTCCAAATCAATACACGGCTGCTTTAGCAGCACGCGTGGTGCTGTAGGCACAGTGGTAGCGATCAGAAGTAGCTTCCAGTCTCTCTCCCCCCTGGCTCCCACCAAACTAAAAAATTAAAAACAAATAGAAGAGACCCACCCCCACCCCCATTCTGCTATTGCTTGGCTACTGAATGGCAGAGCAGAAGGAAGATTTTAATTTAGCATTTAGGGAAATAAAATGTCATTGTTTTACCAAAAATAAAAAAAAAATCATTATTTCACTGTTAAGAGTTACAAGCTTTAAAAACAGGAGGTAAGAACAGATATTTGCAGGTGCATCATTTCATCAGGCACCTTCTGTGCTTTGCAGCCCACCTGAGGTCTGTGGATCACAGGCTGCGTAATGCTGAGTAGATGATACCTTGAGGTGTTTTACAGCCCTCTGCCTATGAGCATGAATGCAGTATTCATCAAAAATTCTCATTTTACATAATCGTGACTAGAAAAAAGTAAAAAGCTAGCAGACAACCCAAATCGATGGTGACCCTCTGCCATGCTTTCTCATATGGCCTGTTCTTGCTCATTTTTCACTCTCTTGTCTTCCTCCTGAACCCTTAATTAGCATATGCAGAAAATATAAAAAAGGCAGTCTGGTCTAAGCCTGAAAGAAATCCATTAAGCGGAGTAATAGCACAGATTAACCAATCAAAACAATTATTGCTGTCAGCACAGAAGCTCAAGGAAGGTGTTTGTCTGTGACAAGATGTTTACATGGGAGAGGTATACATCTATGACCTTGGGGAGAAGAGACAAGGAAAGACTAAAGCCAGTCTGGGGACTTTAAAGAAGTCTGATCACTGCTCTCAGACCTAACAATTCCAGCTCTTTTTTTTTTTGTTTGGTTGTTTTTTTTAAAAAAAATCTGGATAATTTTAAATCTTAACAATCTTACCTTCATTGCAAGGGCAATGAGAGCTCCTTCTGTGGGCTGTCCCATCACACTATTTTCCCTGATAATGGCATTATTGACTACACAGCCAGCCTAGAGACAGGGACATATTTACATGGTTTATTTTTTCATAACTACATTCATAGTTTTTTTTCATCTCTTCAAATGAAATAATGAGACACTGGAGAATGAAAGCAGCCAGATCTCAAAAGATGTGCTCTTCCCCATAGCACTATGTCTTGAGATCAGTTCTTGTGCTTTCTAAACCCACTTAATCCATAGGATACACCAATATTTTGGTAAAATGTTACATTTTGGATAAATTAACATCAAGCTATACATGATATATGTCTAACCAGCTTGATAAATCATGAAAATGAAAACTTAGTCTCTCCCACTATTGCTTCTAACATGCAGTATAGATAGAATAAGACCTAACCTCCATTTAAGATTCCAGCTCAGACCATTTCACTACCCAAACACTCCGCTTTATCCTACAGTTGACTGCGCAAGATTTTCTTTAATGCTAACATGAAACCCAGAGACCATCACAGTACATTTATGTATTGACTATGTAGCTAGCTAAAGTCTAGAATCTGTCCACGTTAAAAACCTGAATGTGGTAAAACTAATTGGCCTCTCCTCTGCCAGAATTGTATTTTTATCCACAATGTCATTGACAATTTAAGCTGATGACTCCGGTCTCTCTTTACGTGTCTTATGATTGCAGCCTTTCACCCATAAGCTTCAGGTATTATATCACAATTACTCAGAGCCTTTCCATGAGAATGCTCTAGCAAGACGGTTCATTTTAGTTACAAAAGTGGCTTTGTTTCATGCTATAACCCAAAGTGATCTGTGCAAACGAAAACCGAATGTAAATAGGAGGAGCTGGTTCATAATTTATGCTTACCTCCACTAGTTTCCCAACTGAGATGTTGGAAAATTCTTTAAGAATCTCCTTTGATGGCAGAAGATAAACATTTCCTTCTCCATTGTAGCCCACTCCACTGACCTGAGGAAGGGAGAGACAGAAAGAGCAAATTTTCCAGTGCCAGGCAGGACTATAGTACATCTGTATACATTGGGGTGCACTTGAGCAAATTTTGAAGGCATGCTGGGATTATTCTTTCTAGCTCAAAGCAATGCTTATAGGAAAGGCTGCAGATAAAGTATAATATTACAATAGCTGTATAGGAACAAAAAGAATTAGCTTGTCTGATACAGAACTTGTTTGCCTTGAGTTCAGAAGTCTATTGCAGCTCAGTCAAGAGATCCAGTGCTTTGGTAGCAGTGGGTTCACTGGTTTTACCCTTACATTTTGCACACTTGTATTTTTCACCTATTTTGCACACAGGTAAATGAACCAAGCGGAAGGATCAGGTTCCTCATATAATAAATATTCCTACAGAAGATGGGCCCACAGGGGTCAAGGGCAGGTTTCAGTATTTACAATAATTGAAGAGAACAGCAGATTATGTCAAAGAACATCTTTGTTTATGGCATCTGAGCAGCTTTTGTACACTCAGCCCCCCCTCTGCCTGTCTCCAGCACCGCAAAAGTCCCTTCTGTTAATGGAACTGGTGATGTGCAAGAAACTGCTTGTTTTGGGGCTGACTCAGCATCCCTGATTTGGACCTAAGTGAACTAAAAGCAAATTGGCCCTGCTGAGCTTCACCAGGAAGGTCCATGTTACCGCCTCGGCCATACCTCTGCCTGGAGCCCATCCGAGGTCACGAGCCAAGTCACCGTCATCTCGTTGGCTGTCAGAGTGCCTGTCTTATCTGAGCAGATGACATTGCAGCAACCTGATGCAGGAAAGTTTTTAATAATGACTAATAAATAGTGCAACCGAACAATGAGATTCAGGGCCTCAGAAGAGCGAGAACGTGTTTTCCTAATGTTACTCAAACTGCACCAGTGAGAAAAGGGAAAAAATACCAAGATATGGATGAGTTTCCTAACAGGGTGTTGTAAGGAAAGGATCTGAGTGCACGTCAGGTTAGCGCACATAATTTAGATGTGAGATGTGGTAGGAGACATTGGAAGAGGACCACATCGTCCTGAGCATCATATGGTGGGCAGTCAAAGAAGGCACAGATCTCCAGGGAGCTGGTCAATGTTTCTGAGCTGCAATATCACACAACAGAACAGCTGTTATATTCTGAAAAGACATATCAAATTCCCACTCTGCCACATGCTTCCTCAGATGGGCCATTTAACCCTTGCTTCTCTAAATCAGGAATAACTGCCCTTCCCTGCCTCACCAAGGGATTGTGAGGGTAGATGTGTTAAAGACTGCTACAAAAAATACTTAAAAATCCACAGCTAAGAGCAGGAGCTGCCCCACTTGTGCTCTGCTCTGTGACGATCCTGCTTCAGTAAAGCACATTTCTTCCAAGGCCCGTTTACACCACATTACAGCAAAGGAGTGAATTTAATGCAAAAAAAGAATCAGACTCCAGCTCCCTTCTAAGTCTGAATATCTTCCCTGGCTCTGAGATGACCACACTGCTTAGGCACAGACCCCATGAGCATGATGACCAGCAGGTAAAAGCCTGGAGAGAATAAAGCAGGTTGGGCTGCAATTAAGCTAATCGCAGTTTTAAAGGATTAGCACAGAACAAAGCTATCACCTCCAGTATTTCATTTTTAGCTACTGACATTTAAAGAATCAGATAAAGAAGAAGGATTATTTTTCTTCTTTTCAGAGGTTTAAGAGACATGACACAATTAATGTATGGGAGCGTACAGTTTTTGCCATGCTTAGACTGTCTTGCAGAGTAGCCGGGCATCTGGCAGTTACACCTATTTGGGCACAGCCCTACCAGAACGAAATTCTTCATGAGATAAGGCGGCTTCAGATGTCCTGGGTCAGGCCATGTACAATAAAATAAGGGTGATAAGATTCCTTAACCGCAGAATAAACAAGGGCAGTTCAAACAATAGCAGCATTTCCAAGGAAGACAGATTTTAGCTGAAGGATCTGGCTGTGTAGCAGATACTTGTGACTGCATGGGTGAGGCTTGGCATTTAGTGTACTTTTTAACGAGTGGTACTAAATACACAACATGTCTGCTCCTTCATATAACTGCCACACTGACCAGGGTCAGAGCAGCAAAGCCTGGAATACAGTGACCTGGGAATAAGGCCCAATTTGAAGATAAGGGGAGGTGGAAGAATAATTTCATTACGGTTCATTCTGCCCTGCAGTTGTGAAGATGGGCTGGACGACTTCTCCAGGTCCTCTCTGTCCCTGTTTTCCATGACTCTTTGGATATCAAGGACATGGCCACACAGACTGTGGAAGGACAAATGGTTTTGTTCATGCCACCACGCTCAACTTGAGGGGCTGCAAGGTTTTTTAGCCAGATACTGAAGAAGCAGACAGGATGGAACTGCAGGATGACCCCACAGAATTGGGGAGGAAGGAGAAACCAAGCCTTTCAACCCAAGCAGGGCATGCATGTCTGCAGAGAGGCTCTGCTCCTCCTGGGCCAGTGCCGTGGGTTGGGTTGCACCATTCCTAGTACTTGCCTTTGTTAATACCACCAAAATTAGGGAAAAGGGTGAGAAACACAGGGTAGAAAATGTATTTAAGTCTGAGTGGGTTGCTCTGGCCCAGTGAGCATATTCCAAATTTAATATTTTTTAATCAGACCAAGGCTCACTTGGCCAGACCATTGCTATTCAGTTCAGATTTTGAAGCCTGGCAGATGACCAAGCTGTGTGGCCCATTTGCAGCGTTACCTAAGGTTTCTACTATGGGAAGCTTCTTCACAATCACCCTTTTCTTGGCCATCCGGAGAATGCCCAGCACCAGTGTTACAGTGACCACGATGGGAAGGCCCTCTGGGATGGCAGCCACCGCCAGGCTGGGGACAGCAGAGAGAAATCAGCTTCAACACAGGGGTCAAACTACAAGTATTGACCAAAACACGTCAAAGGGACATTTCTGTGGGGTGAGTTTTCCTGCTTATATTTGCATATCTCAATAGGAGCATGCAGTGCTAACCACTGGGACTCCTGGCACAGTGTAAATACAAAAGCAGGATATTTATCCAACCCTTCAACCTTTTTCTGGATTATTTTTACAGAGCAATTACTTTTCTTCTTTACATTGCCAAAGAGCATTAATTTCTGGCTCATAAGGATTTAGGGGTTGGATTTAATTTCATTTATTTAACTTCCTGAGGATGGAAGTTGAATATTCCTTAGCATCATGGCTCACGCATTAGCTACTGGCTCCTGGCCACATGCAGCCCCTCATCTCCTCTCTCACATGTGGGTACAAGCCATGGCGGGACGGAATCAGCTCCCCAGGTGTCCCCATGCTGCACACGCTGCATCGGAGCAACGTCAAAACCTGCAACACCTGACATGCTAGAAAAATCCAGACACAGTCTGTACCTCTCAGTTATTCTTTGGGTAACTCTGAACACTTTTAGGTTTGTGCAAAAAGTAATCAAGGAGGACTTCGAAACTACAGGCTGCTCTCCAAAACTCAGGCTTAACCACTTTTCTTTGCGACCACACCCCCCCAGGAGACAGCAAGGTGGGCACTGAGCCTGTTTGGCTTCTCTGTTGTCTCCTCATCCATGGCTTTGTTTTTATTTCCATAGAAAACTTTTTTTTTTTCTTAAAGGATTTTTTTTAGAGCCATGGCAACACCAAACAACAGGTTTTATGGGTACTACTAAAACCACGTGGTTTATTATGCTTGATTAAGAGGTTGTGCATGCTTTTTATGCCACATAAAATGCACATTCCTATCTTTAGACGTAAATCCAGTAAGAACAGCAAAGACTAATATTTGCTGTTGCTACACTCCCACTAAATTCATAGTACAGCTAAGAAAGGACATTCATGGCAGGATGAGGTGGAAAACCGAGTGAAGATTTTCAAAATACTTATTTCCAGAATGAAATAAACCCTCAGACTTGTTTTTCTTTTCTACTAAACTCTGTTTTAAAGCTCACATTGATTTCACCAGTGAAAGATCAATATGTATTTATGAAGGGTCTTACTCAAGTTTTCTTTTGTGAACTGTCCATTGTTTTGAACAGGGAATTCCCTGGGACATGTTTCATTAGAAATCAAAGAGAAAGGTGCTCTCCAGTCCTCACCTAACTCCAATCGTGAACATGCTGAGGAGATGCTTCCCTTGCAACCAGCCAATAAGCATTATTAAACCTGGTGGGGGAAAACCATCTGATTAAAAAACATCAAGAAATGTATAAATCTCTAACCTGCTTTAGCTGTTGTTGGGGAACTGCGTATGAGTATGAGGCCCCCATATCTCTCCTTCTGAGGTGTCTCTGCTTGAACCCCCAAAGCCCAGGAAACCCACATCAACAAATACTTTTCTAAAATGTGGCCCCGGAGCACAGAGGGCTTTCACAGCTGGCCATGCAAGAATGAGCATTGCATCCGACTCACCGATTATGCCGAAGGAGAAGAGAGTGAGTTGCTTCCCCAGTCTGTCCATGCTTTTCTGGAGAGGCGTTTTGGGGGTCTGGAAACATTAGAGCATAGCTGGTTTTCTTTGCTTGTTACACAAGATAAGAAGATGGCACTCAGCCCAGAACGACTGACCCACACAGTCCTGGTTATCTTACTGTGGTCCTTACAGCTGTCAGATACACCCTACTGCTTACCCACCCCCAACTCCCAACAGGGTCTGCTGGGCACAGGCCGTCCCGCAGGGAGAGAGTCTCTGTCTCAGTGCACTCAAGACAGGCAAAAAGTGGGAGAAAAAGAAGAATTATATTTAATTATAGCGGGGGAGCCAAGGTAGAAACAGACTAAGGGCTAAATTGGAAAAGGAACTTAGCGATTGAGTCCAGGACTGGATAATGAGTGTGCAAAGCCTCTGGGACAGGGATAAAAAGTCTGGACCCCCATCCCTGTCCCAGAGGCTTTGCACACATATTACCCAGAAGTGTCAACTTCTGCTTTACTGTGATTTCTTGCATTAATGGATCAAGAGTTAACTAGTTTCTAGACCCTCATCTGTGTTAGCTCAGAGCTCTGGCCCATGAAATTTTGGCACATATGGAAGTAAAATTTTATATACAGAGTGGAAAGGGGCGGGGAGGGGAGGAGAAGAAACTCTGAATTTTGGGTGACTACCAAGTTAGACACAAGCTGAGCATCACAAGTCTGGGGTTAGAAGCCTAAATGCTGCTTATAATGTTCTTTTTGGATACAGCACTTTGGCGTACACACAGGCATTTTGTACCAGAAACAGAAATGAGCCCAGTGCATTAACTCTTGGAACCACTCCTCCTCACTAACTTCCATCCAGAACATCCACCATTTCCAGGGAGACACAGAGACTTCTTTACCTCTTCTGCTTGCATCATTTTGAACACCTCTCCAAACTGTGAATTTTCACCTGTTCCAATAACTACGCCCTGAAAAGAAGTAAAAAAGAGAGAGGGAGAGGAAAAAATCTAGAGATTCTGTAGCTAATGTCAAGGAAAAGATCGAGGCTGAGAGGACTCACTTTTCCCTTTCCGTATCGCACCAGGGTCCCCATGAAAACAACATTGCTCAGCGTGGTTATGTCTCCAGCTTCCAGTAAGACACTGTCAGTCTTGTTGCAAGGCTCAGCTTCCCCAGTAAAACTGGATTCATCCACCAGCAGATCTGTAACCTAATTAAAAAGGCACATTTCTGGCACTGTTAAGTCAAGAAATTTCCGAAACAGGCTCTTGTGCGTACAAGCTCTATTTACCTCTATCAGCCTGAGGTCTGCAGGAACCCTGTCGCCAACAGCCAGATATATGATATCTCCAGGCACAAGCTCTCGCGCTAGAAGATGCTGCAGTTTTCCTTCCCTTAGGCTACACCAGACAGATACAAAAAGAAGAAAGGAAACCAGGCTGTGAGGTTTCTATTTCTTCCGCAGGCTTGGGAACGTGACTGGCAAGAAAGCAAGAGCCCTGCCCTAAAGAGCTTCCGAAGTAAATAAGAACATAAAATCTTCATAATGATGAGGAGAGATGATTATGTTCAGTTTGGGCTCGGTTTTAATTCATAAACGGATGCGCAGGTTGTGGAAGACTTGCATTTCAGCACTAAGCAACTTAAACAGTACTTATACAGCAGATAGGAGTGACAAGCTGGTGTGCTTTCCTGTGGCTCATGCTTTAAATAATGAAATGCAGATTCTTTAACCTAAAAAGAAGCTTTTTAAAGCTAGAATTACTGCCGGCATTTCACTAGTGTATTAAAAGTACAGCCTTTCAAGTGGTTAGATACTTATGGCGTCGTATCATAAATAAATAAAGAGCAAACAGTGGCGTTTATAAGATCCAAACCTGGGTGAATTTTGGACCAGAAGAAAACCCCATGCTGCTTCTGCAGTGCAAGGTTTCTCTGAGCCTCACAGCTTATTTATGATGGCCGTGCCAAAACTGTTTGCAAAGACATAGATATGTTTCCTGTAATCTAAAGCGCTGATACTGAACACCAAAGCAGGCAGGGAAGTGGCACCTGACCCATCCTACCACTGCTCCATGGGCAGTGGCGTGGCTGTGCTCACGTGTGGCCGATCTGCACCGAAACGCCTGGCGTGCCTGCGCCCGGCACGCACCTATAGCAACAGGCAGGCGTGGGCGAGGAAGAACAGCCCACATGCACCCCTGCTTATAAGCCATTTTGTGCCAATATCCCGGAGGCAAAGCCACCCCAAAGCCAATAAAACATGCAGGTGAGGTTTTTCCTGCACGGGGAGTCAGCGCCACGCAAGAGGCTGCAGGGACCCTTATGCGGGCTGTGGAGCGGGACATTTCTGGGACCCTCCCGTCTTTCAGCATTTACTCAATTCCACTGGGTGCCTACTTTAAAAATCAGAGTTATTTCATCCCTTTCACCATGCCTTACAGCTGCACCCGCACACGGTACCGCCCCTCCGGACACCACATTCCCATTACGCACGTGACAACCTGAGGTTATTTTCTTCACGGGTCAGTTCTGCCCTCACAACCCAAACCTTGCTAACGCCCACCCAACCAGGCATGCCTCACCAGTTGCACTCGGGGGGCACCAGCTTGTTAAGTTCTTCCAGAGATTTTTCTGAGCGATACTCCTTTTAAATGAGAAAGGAGAAGAAAGCCAAGTTACACAAGCGGGCTCGCTTATGACAGCCCCGGCCGCGGAGCCGAGCTCCGGCTGACGTACCTGGATGAAGGCCACGGTGACCACGATGAGCACCGCCTGCGAACAAAGAGGCGTTACAGGCACGGGCACACCAGCCCCAGCGAGCGAAGGGTGGGCTCGCAGGAGAGGTGCCACCTACCATGGCGATGCTCGCGGCGTCCTCGTATTCTTTCGTGATGACGCTTACTAAAGCGGAAGCCAGCAACAGGAGGATGAGGGGGTTTTTAAACTGAAAAGAATAAACAAATCGCGACGTAAAGTTAAATACGGCACTGCTGAAGCTGAGCTGGCCTCAGGCCTCTTCAGAAAGGGTTAGACGTGCGGGTTTGCTGCAGAGACCCTCCTTGCTCGTGCCAGCAGCATCGCTCTGCCCAGACAGCGAGGGCGCAGCACCCGTGGCCGGGCTGAAGCCGGACCCTGCACCCGTGCAAGGGACAGGCGGCAGCAGGGACCAGCAGCAGGACAAGGCAGAGGCTCGCACCGAAAGACACGAGTTTCCTCTCCTGTCCCCTGCTTGCGCAGGGGGACCTTTGCAGATGTACAGCACAGGACTGTCTCTAAAAGCTCCTTGGAGGCATGATAGGTACAAACAAAAACGTTATTGTCGTTTTAGAATTTGAAACCAGAAATCCTCTTTTCCCCCCCCTCTTCCCTCCCCTTTAATTAATCTGCTAAACTCTGCGCTGGACCCAGGGCTGCGGGAGTCAGATCCTCACTTTTTTCACTTTTAAACGCAGATTTTAAGGACCTTTCTCCCACCTGCAAAAGTTACAGCTCCATTTAGCTAACATGAGAATTGATGTAAGGGAATTAAGTCAGGCAAAGACAAGACTGCCTGGTTTGGGTAACAGATGTGTGGCGATGCACGGTAGGAAAACCAAGGTTTAAATTTATTCCTTGCTGAGCCAAAGGTGAAAGTCCCTTCATTTCTCTTTAGAAAGACTGGGACAGAGGATGCTTTAGAAAAATAGCAGCTGGAAGAAGTCATGTCAAGTGTCTGCTGAGGGACGATGCTCGAGTGCAGAGATGTGAACGGTGTGGGACTGCCAGCGGCTCTTCCAGAGGGACCAACACGTTGCAGAAGGATCAGAGATGCACTAAAGAGTTTGTTTGGTGTTCCCATAGGAGAAACAGCTTGTTAGGGATAAGCAGAAAAAAAGCACCATCTCACTTTTTCTTAAGAATAAAAGAAGAAAAAAGAATAAAAGAAGACTTAGTGATGATTACAAAGTGCTTAAAAAATATTGATTGGAAAAAGGGATAATCCATGAAATAAAGTCTTTCAAAGCAACAAAAATCTTCATGATCCAGCTAAGCAAGAAGAAAATCAGTCAAATTGCTGGTTGAAAATAAACAAACAAACAAAAAGATCCTTCTTGTTTGGTTAAAAGCTCTAAAAGAGAGGTGAAAGGTGCATTAAATACTGATGAGAACCAGTTAATAAAAGCAAAACTCAAGGATAACTCAGCTGGAGAAAAACAAGATAGCAAATACCACCTTCTGCCCAGCTTTTTGGGGGCAGCTGGTTTGAAATCGTGGATCTTCACCGCGCATGGCACCGTGTATGAATGTATCCTTCACTGATGTATGGCTAATAGAGGCGCTGACACTCGTCTGAGCCCTGCGACTGCCTCTGCTTTTGCTGGAGGGTTAGGGCTTCCCTTCGCTGGGATAACGGAGATCAGAGTGGCTTTCAGCTACTGCTGGTTTGCCTCAAGCCTTTCGCGATTTTATCACTTGCCTTAAAGGGAATAAATATGCTCCAGAAATCAGGGCACTGATTTACAGCTTTTGATTTGTGACTGTGTGGAGATAAAAAGGTTTATTTTTATATTACTTTTATTTTAAGATGTTATCCTCACATTAAACGACCCCGCATCTGAATCTCACAATGGCTTTCCCAGGGGAACAGGCAGTTTCTGTATCCAGGGCACAGCCTGTTCCAAGGCTGAATCCGTGGAAGCAGAAATCCCAAATATTTCCATGTAGCGACATACTCAGGCCAACCCAGCCAGGGTTTTTTGTCAGGAAATGAGAACCTGTGCAGAAAATCCTTACCTGGTTGAGATATTTCTTCCATATTGGCTCTGTATTCTCTACTGAAAATTCATTCCAGCCATGTTTTAACCTGCGCTGTAGCACAGAAAACTCAGAGAGTCCAGTTTGTAAGTCAACCTAGAGGGAAATTTAAAAAAACACCAACAAACCAAACATTACATATTGTAGGATAGTTATAGAAAACTTCTTAAGGCAAAGTTATGTTAAAAACCTGTAAGTAGACTGGGCAAGATGCTCATGGTTCAGTCCCTCACAAAAAATTAAATCTATCCACTGTTTTTCTGTTTAGGTATTTATTTTTGCGGAACTATAAAAATTTAGCATCAACTATCACAGAAACCCATAAAGTAAGCAGAAATTAATAAAAAAAATAGGTATTTCCACAAGTGAGAAACCATATAATAGATGACAAATTAGAAATCTGAAATAGTAAAGGAAAGAACTGATTTCTGGTTTCACTGTACATTTAAAGAAAAAAAAAAAATACCCTGACAAAATTCAAAGAGAACAAATGGAGAAGCAATAAGATCTGTTTTGCCTGGATTTAAAAAAGTAGCAAGGTCAGACACCAAAATATCGCTTTCTCCGGTCGCAGGGGCTCAGCCTTTCTAAATTTCCATCTATTTTTCATACATGGGGTTAAGCATGAGTTATAACATCAGATTATTTCTTTTCCCAAGGGCAAGGTCCAGTGCAGGTCGAGTCACCGGAGTTTCCTTCCTGCGCCCGGCGTCCCTCCAGCCCTCTGGCTCGCCTGCGCTGCGGCTGCGGGGAAGCTGGAGTGGGGCCGGGGCAGAGCGGTGG